TATTGAGTGAAGATTCTCAAGTGGTTTTGGCTTCTTGTCAACTGGCATATAATGCTGGAGTACACAGGTGTCAAGATGTACAAAGGGCAAATGTTGATAGTGTGTTGCATGACAAAGACAGTATTGAGATGTGTAGACATGGTAGATTTTAAATTTATTCGTAAGGTGTTACCCCACCTCACTGACGGGCTTTTTCTTGACAATGTTACTGTCAGATTACTCCAGCCTTGGGGGTTGCAAGTGTGATATGCGTCATGCTCATCATTAAAGAACCAAGCAGAGGCCAAGCGGAGACTGGGAACCATACCATCTCGAGCCAGAGATATATAGAGGACCTTAAGGCCCTCCTGAAGAAGTGAGTTCATGAATGAGTGATGGAGTCTTGGCCTTAGCTGTGCTACTTCAATATTATGCATGTATGCTTTCTCTTGAGGTTTTCAAAGGTCCAGTTTTTCTAGCTTTTTCAAAGTTAAGTTTGGCACAGGATTGGTTGCAAGATTGGTCACGGTAAGAAATCACCCGATGGAGAATGCTGGCAAAGAATGTGGCTCAAGTTAATTGCACTTGACCTTGTATGTTCAAATTTCTTTGTGAGCACAGCCAACGGCAAGCAGGTTGCTCTTACCGAAAGGTTATTTTTCTCATTTTCACCATGAGATGGCATGGCAGTGATTTGCCTCCATGAGAATGAAATGCAGATTGAAAAATGGCCACAAGGGAAACATTAGCTACATGTACTTGTTTGTGTTCAGATTTGGCTTGTGTCCTCTTACGGTATTTTTTATCTCACATCTTCTAGTAAGACATACTTGTTCACCACTCTGGGCTTTACATCCATTGCATGGGTAGTTGGAGGTCTGGCCCTGTGGCTCGTTAAGCTGATGGAGTTGATCTATGACTATCACCACCAGGATGACACAAAGTAAGTGATAGAAATCGTAAATGACCATCAATATACGATGCCCTGGCTCACCAGGCTCACAGTATCTGAACTGTGCGTCAACCATCTTTAGTGAATAGTGCTAGCTACAGTGTACCTTCTCCACTGGCTTTAGTGTAGCTGTATAAATTTTTCTGATTTAATTTCAGATATGTGATCATTGTTTGTCGTAATTAAACAAGTGATCAGTTGATGAAACGAAGAGAGGACTTCTTGAATCTTACGTCTTCGGGAAACATGCTACTCAGTGCTGCCATTTTGAATGTAAACAGTTCAGCAGGACAATTTTAAAAGCCCATTTTTATGCTCTGAGTGATGAATATTCTCAAGTATTTGCAAGAGTGTCAATTGTCATTCAGTTTCCTACTGCTGCCACGTTAGACATGCCCAAGTTGCCAACATGGCGGGTCTGTCACTTGGGCCATGTTTGAGCCAGGAGGAGTAACTACGTGAGAGTCAGATTAAAAGTGGGTACATAACTGGCATTGTCACAATTGTCTTCGGCAGTGTCAGTTTCATCTTTGGTGGCCTGACGGTTGCAGCAGGTTTCAGCGGCGTGACCATAGGGACGGTGGGGGCACAGATATATCGCCGCTACAACCCCCGTGCCGACGCCCTGGTGTGCGCCTTGGGGAACCTGCTGGCCGCACCATTTCTCTTTGTCGGCCTGACCTTCGCCGTAACATCAGAAGGGCTGGGATGGGTATGTACAAGAAGCCAAGCTAATCAAACTTGTGCTTCATGCTCAGACGTGGCCCTGCGTCACATTTACTTGTGTCCGTTGGAATACTTTTAGTATAGAGACTACAAACACACGTGAAACAATACTTTTCTTGGTTATACTCATTAACCCTAACAGTCCTCAATCCTTCACCTGTTGGAGGACTGAGGACTATTAGGGTTAATGCTACTGTTGGGGTGAAAGACATGCTCTACCATCTGCAAAGAGAACACAACCATAGATTTCTTAACAAGACCTCAAACGAGTCATTCCTGTATCTACTCTGCAAATACAGACTAAAGACATACACACAAAACACTCGGATTTGGGCATAAGTAAGATAGGTCTGTAGGGTACTGATTAAAAATTATGGACTTTGTGCTCATGACATAAACCACCTTTTTTTTACCAGAGACAGCAATATTCAGGAGGAAACTGTTCACAAAGTGGTGGTGTTTTAATATTAATAATTTCAGAGGTTTTTCCATTTTTGTCTCTTACAGACTTGTATTCTCCTGGGAGAGATTTGTTTATTCCTGAACTGGGCACTAGTTCCTGACATGTTGATGGTGAGAACAATCAAGTCTAGTTCCATTCCCTTCTCTTCTAAGTAAAATTGTAAACTTTTTTCCGCACAGATTGTTGAAGCAAAGTTGTTGGGGCGCTATGCGTCCCTCGGGTGTTCAAAAGGTCATATCCCACATCATAGCCGTCAACAATTGTTTTGTCATACCTCTATCTTATTTATGTTGAGGTTAAGGAATTTATCCAAAGAAACAAGCTCTGAATTTCAGAAGTTCAGAAGACGATAGGCCTACTGTCAAACTGTATAATTAACCTAACAGACATAAACAATATCTTCTGTGTATGCACAGTTTCCTCACTTTCTTTAATTGCATAACCTAAATTGTGAAGGCAGTGCGGGTACCAGTGGGTACAAGTTCATATGTCGTGTAGTCTGGTCAGCGGTCCCTGTATTACCTTATACACTGCAGGGACGGGAACAAGTCTGTTATTCGAGCAAGACCATTGATCAACTTCCTTGGTAATTTATCACAAAATGTATTATGGGTACCGCGCAAAACTGACTAAAAGAGCGACAACGGTCACTAGCGAGCTTCCTGAAGCTCTTTCTTCTGTCCTGTGCTCGTGTACATGCATGTGCTATAGTCAGAATGAGATGTCTCACAGTGAGTGCGATATGCAGATATATCGCCCTGTCCTGTGATCTTTCTGGGCCAAGAACAGACAGTATGCAAGACAGAGGCAAGACAATCTATTTTCAAGTCTGGAGTTCTCCCACTTCTTGCCAGAGGATATCTAAAAACATTCTGGCTATCTTCTGGCTGGCGGGTTAAAACGTCAAACACGTCTCAATTCACACCCTGCTGACATTGAAATTTGCTTGTCCTGCATTTACTTGGTTCACAAACAAAAAAGTCTCAAAATTCTGTCTAGGAAGATCTTGCGTTGAACCTGAACATTTTCACAGTACGTGGTCTGTTCTGGTTGCAGGCCACTGAGTGGGTGAACTCTAGAATGTTGACAAATGCAGAAAGACCTACCACACAAAGACTGTTCAAATGACCCTGTTGAAACAATGTTTTTGGCTTTGGGCTGTGTATCAACAGTTGGCCTTGGTATATTGCTTTTTTCGGAAATCAGTATTTTGGGGCCAAAAGCTAACACTGTCCACAACTGGTGAAAACAGCTCCATGGCTTCTGTCTCTTTTTCAGCAAGTGTTGATACCCGTGCGGAGGTCAACGGGCAACGGCATACAGCTTTTGTCTGGACACCTTTTTGGTGACGCTCTAAGCCCGTACATCATTGGTGCTGTAAGTACACTGATGGCGCCCTCTGTTGGCGTCAATCCGGTAGCGACAGGCAAAATGTAAAGAATTAGAAATGTTGAATTGGAACTCCTTAAATTTATGAGATATGCATTTACAACAAGGATAACTGAATTTGCAATTAAGCTCATCTAGAAACATTTACGTCACGAGATGGTCCCTTTTTATAGAGCAACTTGGCAGAAGATTTTTTCCCAAGAATGCTAAGCCAACTCAGTACATCAGTTAATGTGTAAATATTTAATCGATGAATTAGATCACCATTTATCAATAAATTTGTTATTGGCCAAAACAAACCATCATCCAACTGTTGATGGTTTCTAGGATATGGGTCAGTTTGTTTCACACAGATTTGGATCTCGATCAGTGATCCTATCACTGGTTCACTCCATCCGTTAGGCAGGTTTTGGTGTCGGTGAACCAGCGACAGATCACTGATCGCAATCCGGATCCTCACGAAACAAACTGGCCTAACATTCATTTGGTACCTCGCAAGGCATTCCACAAAATTAAATCAAAATGGCTACTGTCATTTATTGTCCAATCTTTGACTGATTTTTTTATAAATTTCAAGGTCCAGTGATTGATAGAAAAAGAGTGAAGTTTTGAAATGCTCTTTTCAAGTCAGATTGTGCTCAATAGCAGGATGACACTCCCACTAAGCAACCAATGAATCGATGCATCCAACAAGAAATTACTGAATGTTGCAGTTAATCAGCACACCAATCAAATACAGCTGGTACATGAACATATCAGCAGTGAAGCAATCAGCATATTTAGAGCCAATAATTTTCCACAATCGTGGAAAATGGATGGAATCAACGCTTCAATCCATTGCTTGAAATGAAACTTGCAAAATTTCCCAGTAAACATGGTATAAAAAGTAAAAAAAAAAAATTCCCCACAGTGCTAAAAATAAATGCCTACCCAATCCTTATAAAATGTTTGCTTTTGATTAATGATTTGTGCTGGAAACCTGCTAAATTGCTCCACCCCAGCACATGGTCGGGTCGGCCGATGCCGATATTTGAACTACATGCCATGGCATGCGTGAGCCCCATGCGCGATGAGGGGTTAAGTAGTAAGTTTGTAACTATTGAGTAGTTTTTTTTAATTTTCACATCAGAAAATTCTTGTTAAAAATGCTGGAAACGTTGCTGAATGTTTTGAAACAGGGTATTTGTTTCTTCTCTTTTTCTGGGGGGGGTGAACTAAGATTAGACAAACAGTTTCCATGCATAGTTTGTAACTTGCTCTACTTTTTTAATGCTTAAGTTTGCAACAAAACTTGAAACTCTGAAGGAGAATTAATTTTTTCCTAAAACGAAAAATACCCATTTTTGAAACGGAAAAGCGACGGTCTGTAATAAATCATTCACAGTACCCTGCATTTGTCATAATTGTAGCTTGGGGTTGTGTCTAAATTTCTACTTTTATAACTATTAAAAAAAAACATTTTTACCATCACGAAGGTTTCTGATTTGATCCGAGGCGATGGATCCACCTACTTGGAACGCTACCAAGGTCTTGCCTACTCCCTTTACATGGCCGTATTCCTCTCCGTCATTGGTGGGGGGTTCTTCCTGGCTGCCAGTCTGTATATTGAGCGGGACCGGGCACACATGCAGGAAACATTGCAAGGTAAGTTTTCTCCCCCTTCCTCGAAACTGGAATTTTTTCTCTGTGTTTCCTCCCAGTAAATCATTGTGCTTGGCGGAAGAATAATGCTCAAGCCCCAATTTCATGGAGTTACTCATGGGAGTTTATGTGTTATACAAAAATCAGCCAGGAATGTCATTTTTCTTGGTAAAAGTTTGTGGCTTGAATCCAGTTGCTGGCCGTAAATTTGGCCTTTGGCAAGTCGCTTCACCCTTACTGGCCTCGCTCTCTCTCCAGCCATTAACATACATGGGTACCGGCATTAGCTGGTGAGCAACCCATGATTGACTGGCATCCCATCCAGGCGGAAATTGAAATATTCACAGTCACTTCATGCCAAGGAAAACCGGAATTGAACACGGGCCTGATTAACCACAGTGCCTGCGGACAGACTTTCTTGCTGGAAGAGTTCATATATTAGTTTTAACATCAATAGATAGTTCGTAAGACTCTTCTTTTTTCTCTGTTTCTTGTCCAGCTTGTCAGGAGACTGAAGCCCACCAGACTGACAATGATGATATAGGTCAACCAGTCAATGCTCGTAACAATGAAGATGTGGTTATCTGATAACAGTGGTTTCCAAAGTTACTTTTTTCTGCTGCCAAATGAAGTAACAAGATGCAAATCAACTGAGAAACTGAGACTTGTATAGGAAACAAATAATAATTGCTTTGAGCTTGCCTTGGGGGTAAATAGAACGCTTTATGGATCACCCCAAGAGGTACTGCAGAGCACTCTGGGTAAAGTAGTCAATATTTGTGTTCTAAATCTCTCTTACAGATTCTGCTTAATAAACCTTTTGCGAGTTAAAATTGAATAAGATCTGGCACACTGAGTTATCTGATTGCACATAAACATAACGATTTGAATTCCCCAGACTAAAACGCTGTTGCTGTACCTTGTGATTCAGGGCAAGCTTTTACATAGCGACCACCGTCTCAGGAATGGACCGGTTCCTTTGTGCCCATCTAATTTATTGGGAACAGTGTATTGGTGCAAGGCGTCTTTTATGTAACTAAGCAAAAGCTTGCCCTGAATCAATGCAGCAGTGTTTTTAGTGTGGAGATTTCAAATTGTTATGTTCACGTGAAATTAAAGAAGTCTTTGTACCAGATTTATTCAAATTTAACTCGCAAAAGGCTTATTTAAAGGGTAACTGATTAATTTGATCTAAATACGTATAAGAAACTGGTTGAAAATTTACCAGCGTCTTTCCAAACTACCCCTTCATGAATTGATTGAGCCCAGCTCTGTTGCGTTGCCACTTTGGAACATACGCAGCGCACACTGCCGTATACAATCACACACAATGCCAGTGGTCATGTGTACAGTTCTTTGGTAGCTATGGGTATAATTCCTGGGCCCTGAGAAGCAAGATAGAGAAAATAGTGAATGCCATGTGACCGGCTCGAGGCCAATCAGGATACAGAGTCTGTGAGTGAGGTATTACAAACGGTATGCACCATTTTTCTGTTGAAACCAACATTTGTTTATTTTTGAGCCTGTTGCTAGTGGCCAGAACCTGGGCTAGTTATCATGGTGTTCCTTACTTCAGCTGGAGAACGTCTGCTAACGACATTCTTGGCCCAATGCCATAGATTTCTAAAGCAGAAAGGAGTACTTGGCATATTCATGTGCCAAGCAAAAAAATCAGCTGAGAACCGGTCGCAGGAGATATACATTGTATGACACTTTTAGCCGGTAGCCTGGTAATGCTAAGCAAGTATTTTTTCTGGGCTCAGCATGCTGAGAAAGTAATTCACCCACCTACCTTATAAACAGTGAGCGTATCTCACTGGTTAAACACCAATGAATTTCGGCTTGTGCCGAAATGCACAAACTCATAGTATGAGTTTGAATATGACATGATATTATGGTCCATGCTCAATCTGTAAGTGCACATACACGGAAGTTCTGGGCAAAGAAATGATTGTGGATGCCAAATTTCGTTGTGAGCAGAGCCATACAGCAAGGCTCTGAAATTCTGTGAAATCTTGAAAATTGTGGTATTGGATTTCATTGGCTTGGGGTAATTACTATTGTGCTTGAAAAGCGCCAAGTATCGAACCATGTCAAGCCATGCCTGAACTTAAAAGAGTGACAACCAAAGAATTATTGTGCCATCGATCATTTGTATGCAGCTATTTCAGAAGTCAACATTTTGTTCAGAAATTAAGTTTTGGATTTGTTTGTACTAGCAGTGTGTACTTTATTCAGCTGCTGTGTTTTGTTTTTGTGAAATACAATGGACATTATAAATGTTGCAGCCATCTTGGAGGCAAAAGCTTTTGTCTGATGGACTTAGTAAGGAGCAGGGTTTTCATGAATTTATTAATACACGTACTGAATTTTAATTGCTAAAAGTACCTCTAAGGTGGCTTGCGTATGGAGATGTCCTTTAGTCCATGCTTCAAAAAAGGGAAATGACACTGCTGTGCACAATTCAACAATTTTTACAATCGATGTGTGCTCTTCATATGCAAAAGAGGAGCTCTGTATTGTAACCAGATATTTTACGTTGAATTGCGAGGAATTAAAACTGGGAGTGGTTACTGGGTGGTTTGGAGTTGCCATGTGACAATCATTTGTTTTCTTTTTTATTTGGCCTTGGTCTTTTTTCATGGTTTATGACATTGTTTTCATATCTCACTACCAGCTGATTGCATCATTGTTGATAGGACACGATAGGTAGGGCCTTGGCAGAGGTGTGTTGTATGGATCCTAGTGACACATTCCCTTGCAATCACGGAGTATCAAGAGTTCGCCTTGAGCTGAGACTATCAGACCCATGAAGTCACGTAAGGCAGACACCTCCTTTTTATATTAAAACCATGGTACTGTAACAGATTTTTGAAATGAATGATTTATTTCAAGAGAAGCTTTACATTTACACTTTCAGAAACATGATGCATGAGATTTTATAATATCAGTTTTGCTATACATTTACAAATATATATGAAACTATCCAAAAATCAGTTTACTTGGAAATATCTTTATCTTTGACCAAAACGTCATTCCATGAGGTTGGGGCACAATTTGTGACAGTGTCCTTGTTACAAGGGTAACTGTTACCGTCTGTCATGACCTGTAGAGTAGATCATTTACTCTGTAAAAATAACACACACCTCTGTATTTAGCCTTGCAAGATGTAGAATTTGGAATCTACAGGCAGGGGAATAGCTGTTCATTTTTACGGAACCCACGTAACAGTGGACACTGTTAAAAATTAAGCCCCGACCTCATGGAATGACCAAATTCTCAATTCTTATGACTGCAACAGAATGTCATAATTTAGCACAACTTACATTTTCAACTTTAATTCATACAACAAACTTCACCTTCAAACCGTAAACAGACAGCTGGCCTAGTGCTCATTTTTATGTACATTGTATAAAAAATATTTACTTTTGTACAGGAAGGTCTTTTTAATTGTCCACGATTGTCTACATGTCAGTTATTTGAAGTTTTGTTTCCAAGTATACATAAATCACAAAAGAGGAAAAAAAGGCACAAAAATATTGCAACATGATGGGCACTGGAAGAGATCAAAGTCACAAATATTTTACATGGCCCTAATTTCACTCAGGCAGTGAACTGATTTCACAGGTATTGAAACCAAAAGTAATGGGACTGCATTGTAACAGAGGGAAGGTTTCATCAGAGGAGTAACTTGATCATTTTAAATGTCCCAATGGCTTCATGAAGAAAAAGCAGAAACGCCAGGATTGTTAAAACAAACTTGCCTTTTGTGGAATGAACCATCTGTGGCGAACAGGAAAATATGCTGTATTTGGTATGCACAGAAATTAATGTTGGGATTTGTTAGCAAAATGTAAAGGATGACTCTAGCATTGGCCATAGTTGAGTCTTACTTTTGAACACATTTACACTGTCCCTGACGTGAACTTCTCTTGTGATGGTGCATGGATGTCATTCTTGCTCCTGTAGGAACATGTTCTCTGCCTCTTGTAGGACACCTGCTGGATCGTACAGCGTTACCTAGGACAGAAAAATGTAAGACACAAATAGTGATGACACATTTGCAAACTGGTAGAAATCTATCAGCTGGCTTGGGATTGTTACAAGATAACTCTTCTTGGATTTATCTTTCAATGACGCAAGAAATACTGAAATCAAAGTGTGTATATCCATGGAGGCATCATTTATTTGTCCACGGCAAAATGGGCGCACGCTATCCACTCGGTATATTGAGATTAGTTGGTTTTTGTTTAAGATGTCCAAAGCCTGACTCCATCAGAGTAACAAAGAAACAACACCTTCACCCCTAACTGCAAGGTGAACTCGGTGGGGTTTGGTTCCCAAAGCAGTAGTCTGAATTGGGTTACAAAGTCTTAACCTCTCACCTCTGGTATCGGGTACTGGGTGGGGTCGGGTGCTCCTTCCCTTCCAAAGTCCACCACGGTTCCACATTTGGGGATATCATCCACCCACACTCCTTCGTACACTTGTCCCTTGTCCAGGTAGAAGAATTTGCCAGGGCCGTTTTTCTTGTCCGTCTTCCAAGAGCCCTCGTATCTGTTCTCGTCAGCTGTGCGCAGGAAATATATGTCATAGAAAAACCGGTTCTGAGAAGAAAAAAAACTGAACCACCAAACCAGCTTTTGTCCATTTCACGAGTAGTGCTGTACACAGACTATAGTGTTTAGCTTCCAAAGCAGAATTCTGTTGTGAAAAGGAAATCGAATTTATCCCTTTCTGGTTTGTGACAAATTATATGAATCAAAATTTGGACTTTTCTCCTCCAGGTTCTGACTATGCACAGTGCACTGTGTAACTTCTGCAGTGCCCATCTTACATATCGTGTGTAAAGTATACTGCTTTGTGATCGAGTACCTGAGATCCCTTGGACTATGAAGGTGTACAAAATATGCAAGATGTTTAGTCTAACTTAACCATATGCTGCCGGGGAACTTGGTTTTGGGTACCTTGGGTTTGAATGCATAGCCAGGGTGCCCAAAATCGGACCAAAGACCTGGGCCTTATAACAAAAGACTGTACTCGAAACAAAAGACCCACTGCTGGGAATTGCCATCATTTTTCGGCTTGCATTTGTCAGAGGTAATCTGTCATTGTTTTGAAACACTATACCACTGTTTTCAGCATGGCGCGCCCGCGTATTAGCACCACGGACAAAAGTGCTCCAGATCCCCATCGATGAGCGATACAGTACCACTGCACGCTAATCCAGCCGCATTTGAAAAGACGCTACTGGCATTCATTGGGAACAATGAAATTACAAGGAAATTACGTAACACCTCACAATTCTGGGCTCCCTTTACAGGGCAGCATGCCTGGCTGAAATAGTTGGGCATCAATGGAGGTTGCATGTCAGATTAGATTAGAGCAGACACCAGACGGTCATTCGTGTGGGTGTACACGTCCATTAAATGAAATTATGAATTTTTGAAGAATTTTGAAAATGGAAAATCTGGAAAATTGCCTGTATGTAGGCACTGCACTTTTAAAAGCACCCGGCAGCATATGGTTAAACTTCAGGGAAATAAGAAAGTACATTAGGCTTGCGTATACTTCCAAGTGACCTGAAGTCTTTGCCTGGTAGGTTGGAGAGTTGCGTACGCAGTCATTTTTCAATGAGCTTACCTAATCTGAGCATGCCTTGACCACTGCGCTGATCGTTGTACCACTCGCCCTCGTAGATGCTGTCATCTTTGAAGTACATGCGACCCCAACCACTACGCTTATCACCGTACCACTCGCCCTCGTAGTACTCCTCAGCTGAGTAGAAATTGGTACCATAGCCCTGGGGGGCAAGACAGAGGAAAAAATGTCAGAAAACTCCTCTGTTGATCATGCAGCGTGATTTCAGACAACTTGTCTGTCAAAAGAAGTCAACCATTCAGACCACTTGACTTTGACACAAAGACAACTCAACTCATACAAAATTCTCTCGGCTGATATAACCTGGGAGGACATGTCATCATTAGATTATTTTGTAGTGCTATAATGTTATCAAAGTTGTTATAAGTTAGGCAAGCTGTGTGAACGTGGTCAGTATTAAGTCAGGGGAACTGATCGATGTCTCCTAGCTCAACTGTTCTGAGTGTCTCCAAGGGACGACTTGTCTTTACACTTGACGGGACCAATTGCCAAGCGATGGAGTAGTTGTCTGGAGTTGAGTCAGGTAATGGAAAAGTCCAGTTTTGCCAGAGGAAAGGAGTTGACCATTTAATCAATCGTTCGGTTCACTGTCAGCTGAGGTATTCTGACAGATCCTAATGAATTTTCGTTAACTTTAACTGGGCCACACGCACAGACAGCAACCATAAAATGCCTCTCACTGGACAGTCATTAGTAAGCCTCATGGAACCCTAAACCATCAGTACACGAAACCATTATAAACATGACAGTGAGTTACGTCAAGATTTAGACTGCTGAAAATGGCCGGTGGTACCTATGGCTATGGCTTTCCCCATCCACGTTTCATGAAAACTGTGATCACCAAAGTCTGACAGACTAGCCTTACATGTCGCTTGTCGTTCTTCCACCCTCCCGAGTACACTCGTATGAAGCCACCCTCCGCTGAGGGTAAGCTCAGAGTGCCAAAGCCGTTCCTCTTGCCACACTTCCAGTCTCCGTCGTAGATGGCTCCTGTCTTCTTCCATCTCTGTGTTCCCTTGCCTAGGAAATGGTCGTAAGAGACAGTTTTTTTTATTTTATTCTTTATATCAGGCTGTTGATTTAATTTGAGAGAAACTAATTAGGATCACCAAATGCAGTTTTTCTGGTTTGGCATCCAAATTCCTAATTTAAATGGTTAAAAGTTCAGAAGTATTTCAACTCTGAGACAACAGGTGCAGGCATTATCGCTACATGCAATAACCTGCAACCACAACAAAGGGTTGCAGCACTGTCATGCACAGTTTACTGGTTGACACCTGTGAATGATTGATAGGAAACAAGCCCCAAAACGCCTCTTCCCGTAACAGCACAATACAAATTTACTACAAAATTGTGACATAAATACTACAACAACATATTAACAACAGCTTTGCAGCCACCATGCTGGCACAGATGTGCCTGGGGCAAAGCAGCTTAACGCATGGACGCATATTCTGCCTGAATTTAAAGAGCTTGTATCACATTTACATATTTGGCTTTAGCAAACTCCTGAATGTGGCCCATTTGCTGGACCTCTACCGTTAACGTGCTCTCTTGCCAGCAGTATTCAGGCAAATGTTGATCTTGAATGTTAAGCAAATTCAAGCCGCACACCTATGAATGGAAAATCACCTGTTCTCAGCAAAATGTCGCAATGCCTGGCATTATATTTTGATGGCCAAACATGAACTAAGTCATACCAGAGGGTCTTAACCAAATGCTACTGGGTGCTTTTAAAAACCCAGTGCACACATACAGGCGATTTTCAAGATTTTCAGTTTCCAAAATTCTTCAAAATTCATCATTTCATTTTCGTGTACACCCACACAAATGACTGTTTGGCGGATACCCTAAGCTGACAGGCAACCTCCATTGACTCCTGAGTATTTCAGCCAGAATTGTGAGGTGTTGCGTAATTTCCTTTGTCCTCAGTGAATGTGAGTGGCGTCTTTTCAAACACGGCTGGATTAGCATGCTGTGTCGCTCATCAATGGGGCCCTGGAGCACTTTTGTCCGTGGTGCTAATCCGTGGGCAAGCTATGTTCAAAACAGTGGTATACTGTTTAGAAACAGTGACGGATTACCTTCGAAAAATGCAAGCCGAAATATGATGGCAATTCCCAGCAGCAGGTCTTTGTTCCGAGTACGGTCTGTTACACAGACCAACTCTTTTGTCCCATTTCGGGCACCTTGGGTCAGCGTATAAACCCATGGTGCTCGAAATGGGGTTCCCTGGCAGCAAGAGGTTAACTTGGGGCTCCGCTTGCGTCAAATTGAAGCCAGAACTTGTAAAAGCCTGAAAATAGAGCTGAGGTTTAGAAACCCCCTCCCCAAAAAAACCAGACTCACCATGTTTTTTGTTATCCAGCCACTCTCCTGTATATTCATCCCCATTGACTGAATACACGGTGTTTCTTACACCTTTCTTCTGGGCTTTGTAGTCCCAGTCTTTCCACAGCGGCTGCTTCTTCTTTGGCACTTTTTTATAAGGCATTTTTTTCTCCGAGAGAAGGACACTGCAGACAAAGACAAACAGACTTTTAATTTCAAACACGGACAGGACACAACCGAGGCTCAATATAAAATGGTGCAATTAATTTGGGGGACAAAATGAAGGAGATACCTGGGAATCGAACCCAGCATTATATGTAAGCTCTCGGGACACATGCTATTCACTACACCCTGGTAACATGCTAACTTGCCATGTAAGTGATCTAACGCATTGAAAAAAAACATCGATGTTGCAAAATTTCTTCCATTAATTCTTAGTATCTTGTCTGTGTGTGTATTTATATATTTCATCAGTTTAATTTTAGGTTGTTTTGCTCGTACATGAAGCGAGCATGTTTCCACAAAATTTCCTGCGTACCGAGCTTTATCCAATCGCCCAGGCACGGTTGTCTGGGATGCATCAACAATTACAGGAACGATGTGAACAGAATTGTGCGTGTCGCTTTGAAATAAACTTGAAGAGGTTGAGAAATAAACCCAATGCTAGTCCAACCACATGTATTAATTTACCATAGGGTAAATTAATAAATTATTATTAATTAAAACGCAGCCGACATTAATTTAGTGAATGCCGTAGAGTTTTCTTAAAGAGGCTTTATAATCTGTAACACACTCGACCACGGACGGCCAATTTAAATGGGCCGAGTGACTGTGCATGTACGGAAAGCATTCTGGAACTGCAGTTTTCATTGTTTTGGAACTGAAGCCTAAAATGCTACCGGAAACAATTAGAGAGATTTTATTTTGGTAAAGGCTCCAACTGAATTCTCCCCTGACATCTAACAAAATGTAATGTACGTACGACCAAATTTCTTACAAAGAATGTGGTTTTTGGAGTTTAAACTGAAGACGAGTTTCACAGCGCTGTCTTCTCCGGCTCCATGTCCATGGTAACTATTTACGTCTGGTACCCAGTATCTAGCTTTTGTATTAAGATACGCCACGAAATTCTTGAAGGCACCAGTCGACAGATTCCTGATTGTAGCGCCATCTATTGGTTTTACCACGCGTCCAGATCGCGCGTCAAGGTTTTAAAAGATAGGCGTGCACTGTACAGGATCAGCTAGGAATACAGTCGATATCAGCCGCAAATAGGCTGTTTGATATGTTTAACGATAGGAATAGGACGTATTCTCGAGAAAGTGTAATCTTTTCCCATTGACAGTACTGAAGTTCATTTGATTTATTTCATTTTTTGTTATATACTTTTTCAGGAAAAATTGACATTAAAATAACCAAAAATGCACAAGCATTTAAGGATATACACGCAGCTCCCGCTGGGTTACCAAAAATAAACACAGTCTCTGTCGAGGGGCTCCCGAGCCGAAATAAGAAACACTAAAGACAATGTTAAAATACAATTATGAAAGCTCTTGGAGAAATAATCACTATAAACGAAAATTAGTCAATTTGACGGTTAGTCCAGCTCTATGTCTAAAAGGACAACTTCGAATTCGTCAGAAATGCCGATAAATAATTTCAATTAGTGAGACAGGTCAATGACTAACATTTATTCGTCAAACATAAGTCAAATATTAGTCGCTGATTTGACCAAAGGCAGTCACTGTTGACTAAATATTAGTCCTCTCTTGATTTAATAAGTCACCGAGACCCGACTTATTAATTGGACATTTTGAGCAAAATAACTAACTACTAATTGTTTACAGTGATGTAATGTACCTCTTATGAGAAGAAAATCTCGATGCATGGGTAGCCCTATTACATAATGCACGCAGGCCGACGTGCATATGCAGATGAAAAAACATAACGAGATCGAGGTTCTTCGTTCGCATGGTAAAAATTCTGCTGAATTATCGGACGGGGGCTATGCCAAACTGAGTTTTCTCCTTCTGAATCTGGCCTGCCCCTGCCCCTTGCATGAACCAAGCCTATCCACGCACATGTCTGGAGGAAATACTTAATTGAGTCCAGAATTAACTACTACCAATAACAATTCCCAATTCAATCAGGCAAAATCTCAATGTCTCAATCACCCATGTAAAAATCCTTGTCTACTGCTTATTATGTACATAATACGAACACAAGCTGGCGGTATATTTTGATTACGGTACGAATGATTAATTCTATTTTGAGACACATTTTCCTGACACCAGCATATTATACTAAAACATCTTCTGTCAGAGGAGGAACTTGGTTCAAAGTGGTGACACTCTTCAGTGCTAGCTGTAGGCCTAGCCTAGTTTGTGAAGATTATGAAACGTGCACCCGTGCAGGTGAAAATTCGCCACTTCAAAGTTGATCGGTCCAGCGCGAGTAAGGACCGCCAATAAATTAAAGTGGCACGGCAAAATCTTAAGTTACATTCCAATTGACGCCAGCTTGAAGGAGAGTTCAAGTTCAACAATGTTTCTAAGTCTTGGTTTTCT